ATTATTCAACCTTAAAAGGGAAGGCAATTCCAACACATGCTACAACAGGGACGAGACTTGGGAACATTATGCTAATAAAATAAGCCAGTCACAAGAAGACAAATACTGTATGATTCCACTTACATGAAATATCTAGAGTAGTCAAATTCATAGAAACAGAAAGTAGAATGGTGGTTGCCAGAAGCCGGAGGGAAGGGGAAAATTGGGAGGAGTTGGTTAATGAGTACCAAGTTTCAGTCTCACAAGATGAAAACTTTCTGGAGATGGGCTGCACAGCAACGTGAATATATTTAACGTTACTGAACTGTACACTTAGAAATGGTTAAGATGGTAAATTTTGTCATTTTTTTCCGCAATTAAATATTAAAACAAACAACAAAACCTCTGGGCAAAGAATGTATCCTTCTGAATCTTAGTTTCCTCACTGGATATTGGGGATGAATATATGTGCTCTCCTCTAAATACACCTCACAGGACTTTTGAAGCTCATGTAAATTGATGACTTTGAAAGAAAAAAAAAAAAAGACAATTCTTTTCCCAAGAGGAATTCTGGTGCCAGGGGTTTAGTTCACTTTCCTTTGTAGCCTGTATATCTCTCATTTCCCTCCCCTGTCCTTCCTAGGCTCCACCCCTCCCCTAACCCTGCTCCTCTTCCTCTACCACTTCCCCTCATGGTGTGCCTTAGCATTCATTTCCTTCCTTCTCTTATGCTTCTGATGCCTCTGGGATTTCACTGACTTCCAAGGCTTCAAGTAGCTCCATGGGTAGGTGAACACCAATCTATAACTCCTGTCCAGATCTCCTTCCTAATTCAAACTAGTTTATCCTATTGTCTACTGGACTTCTCCCTTACGCACCTCAACTTGGCATGTTCAAAGCCAAACAAGCCACCATTCCCCACCAACCATCTCCTCCACGGTTCCTACTCTTATTGAAAGGTCTAAAAGCCATCTCCCCGGTTGCAAAAAAAAAGAAAAAATCTGGGAATCACCCAATGACTAGCCCCCTCTCCTTTCTACCCTCACTCCTTAAAGGGCTACTCAAGGGAGAGGGTCTCAGATGAATAATTTCTCAAAGGTTCATTTCTCTCTTAGGTTGCTGCCGGAGGACACTGCAGGGTGGCTGTGCTCTGATCTGCATGTCTTCCTCATTCTATGATCCAAGCCAAAGAGACATGCCATTCTTATGGCAGAGAGGAAAAAAGACATGGCTGAAATTTGCAATGACTCTTAATATTTCTGTTTGGTCTTGGCCTAAATCACTTCCACTTTTGTTCCATCAGCTAAATCAAGTCATATGCCCGCATCTGATGTTAGTAATCTATTTCCTTATTGCACTGAAAAAAAAGAAAATAAGACATGCAATGGTGAGGAGGTAAATTTCAAATAAATAAAAGGCAATTCTCTTACCATGGCAGGAGACAGACTCGTTAAACTCATTGACCCAACTGGGGAATAGGCTTGAAAATCTGTAGTGCTTTAATGAAACCTGGTCTAAGGCAACTTCAGACAATTCTCAAGCCCTCTCATTCCAGGGGAATCATGATAACCCACACTCTTCAGTGCCTATTGGCAATACAATCTTTTGTTTTTAATCTTAGCTTTGAGGGTGGCATGACTCAATCAGATATGAAATGGGAGAGGGCAAAGAAACTGAGAATGACTGTATGGTCCTATATCATGGGACCTCATGTCATGTTACAGATAGAACATGGGAGCTCCAGGAGATAATGTAACATGCCTTCACTCCAACAACCTGGAAGTCGGAGAGTTAGAGAGTTGGACTTCAAATACAAGTCTCTCTAACCCCGAAGTCCCTGCTTTCCTCCCCATACCTTGAGATGCCTTACAGAATTAGATAGCTATTACTGCTTAACAAATGACCCAAAGTCAATAATTTGAAACTTATTATCTCACAGTTTCTGTGGGCCAGGAATTAAGGACCAGCTTATCTGGGTGGTTCAGGCTCTGTCATGAGGTGACAGTCAAGATGTCAGCTGGGGCTACAGCTATCTACAGGTTTCACTGGGGCTGGAGGATATGTTTCCAATTGCCATGGCTGGAAATTTGGTGCTGGTTGTAGATCTTCTCCATGTAGACCTCTCCATAGGTTGCTTAAGTGTCCTTACAGCACGGTGACTGACTTCCCCCAGAGCAAGCAATGTGAGAGAGAGAGCATGCCACGGAAGCTATCCTAGCCTCAGAAGTCACATAAAATCACTTCCGCCACATTTCATTAATTAGAATAAGACTGCCCTACATTCAAGGGAGGGAAATTAGGCTTCACCTTTTGAAGAGACGAGAATGATGGACATATTTTAGACCACTACACTTAGCAAATGAGAAAGAATTTGCAGCTCTGGTGTGAGTTGCCTAGGCTTTGTTTAAAATGAATTAGAAGCTTCCAACTTCTCTCAGGTTAAAGATAAAAATCCTCAACAAGACAGCAAGGCCACGCATGCCCTACACACTGCATGCCCCCAGCCTCAAACCAGGTCTTTCCCCTTTATGTTACACACCTGGAGTGCTTTCATTTCTTTTTAAATACTGCACTCCCACCTGCCTGAAAGCCTCTCAGAGATGTTCCCTCAGTCCTCTGTGCCCTCCCCCAACCTCCTCTTGCCTTGCTAACATTCACTCATCCTTCAGGTCCTGGTTCAAAGGTCACTTCTTCATCAAATTTCCCTGATCCCTCAGACCACATCAGGTCTGGTCAGAAGCTTTTATGAATCCTTGAGTTTTTTTTTTTAATGATACTTTTTATTTGCAGTTATGTATGGATGTGATCATTTGATCCACATCTCTCTTTTCCACTAATGTTCAGTTTGTATTGAGATTAATTTTTTATTCACTGTTGCATCCCCGGCACTTTTCACAGTGTCAGGAACGTAAGGTGTACTCAATTACAAATGTGTTGAATAATAAGTGCCCAGACAATGATCTTCTCGTAGCAGAAGGTGTGCAAACAGAGGTGGAACCACCTTGTTATACGTGTGTTTGAGGGGACGTTCAAGCGTCAGATCAGAGCTGACTGGATGACTTTTAAGGTTCTTTTCCTTTGAGAGTCTTTGAGATTCTGTGATTCTAGGGTTTCCACTCACTGGGAGACAACTCTGCCTCCCTGGATGACTCACCTATGGCCCAGGTCTCAGGTCTCCTGGCTCCTAAGACACACCCTCTCAAGGGGCAGCTAACTCCAGGCTCATGTGGCAGCCTGGTACTCACATCAATCACAAGGAAAGGTTATGCTGGAAACCTTGGGAGCAGCTGCCTGTGGGCTCTAGCAATTGGACCCTCCGTGGTTCCTTTAAGAAGTTTTACAAGGTTAAGCTTTGCTCTAAAAATAAGCCCACAAGGCTTTTTAAAAAGCTTCTAAAACCATAGGTCTACAACAGCCATTTTTGAAGGGCCAGTGAGCCTTTAAAAGCTTCAAAAGCCACTACTTGGCCTGCCTGCCACAGAGGAGAAAGTTCAATATGCAGTGTGTTTAAAAACAGACCTGCTTTTAAGTCTTCTAGAATCTGCACCTGAAACATTCTGCTCCTATCAAAGGGGTTCAAGAGGGAGATCAGTACGTGTGAGGCTTGTTTCCCCAGAGGCCATGTTCTTTGCACAGTAATCAAGTGCCCCAAATAACCACAAAACTGCAATTAGTTGCCTATAGAGAGATTAGTTCAGGTTTTTCTTTCCTGTTCCCTCTCTCCTCCTTTAGGTCTCTTCATATTATGGGGTACTGTGGATTCTTCTGTTAAGTGCATACAAACACACACACACACACACACACACACACATAGGATCCATGGTGTGTCAAAAAAAATGTGCACCCAGATGGAGTGCCTATCAGATGATCGGCAGCAAATGAGGAAGGGCACTTATTTGTTAAATTGTTCTTAAATGCAATGTGTGGCACATAAAAGGTAGGCAGTTATATTTATAGGTATTGAATACCTATATTCAGGTGGGAAGGCAGAGGTTAGAGATGAGTGGAGAGCAGTAGAAAGAATATCTCAATGAATCAGAAATATGTTCTCCCCCAGTATGGAGATTCCTCAGAAAACTAAAAATAGAGTTGCCATATGATCCAGCAATCCCACTCCTGGGCATATATCCGGACAAAACTCTAGCAGCACTATTCACAGTAGCCAAGACGTGGAAACAACCTAAATGTCCATCGACAGATGAATGGATAAAGGAGATGTGGTATGTGTGTGTGTGTGTGTGTGTGTGTGTGTGTGTATACACACACATACACAACGGCATACTACTCAGCCATAAAAAAGAATGAAATAATGCCATCTGCAGCTACATGGATGGACCTAGAGGTTATCATACTAAGCGAAGTAAGTCAGAAAGAGAAAGACAAATACCATATGATATCACTTATATGTGGAATCCAAAATATGACACAAATGAACCTATCTATGAAACAGTAACAGACTCACAGACAAAGAGAACAGGCTTTTGGTTGCCAAAGGGGAGGGGGACCTGGGAGGGTTGGACTGGGAGTTTGGGACTATTATATATAGAATGGATAAACAACAAGGTCCTACTGTATAGCACAGGGGACTATATTCAATATCCTGTATTAAACCATAATGGAAAAGAATACAAAAAGGAATTTATATATATATATATATATATATATATATATGAATCACTTTGCTGTACACCAGAAACTAATGCAACATTGCAAATCAATTATACTTCAATAAAAAAAAGAAAAAGAAAAAAATATTCTCCCCAAAGACATTTTACAATTTGCAGGGAGATTGGAGAGGGGTACGGGTTACGATGAACCATATTTAAGCTCTTTGAATCCTTCAAGCCTCAGTAAGGAATTCCCTATTGACCCCTCTACATAATGAGGAACCTGAGAAGTTAAGATGATCCCACAGATCTATCAGCCTCTGTGCACAAATGTTCTTCATTCTGGTATAAAGGGACAGTATGAGTGCTCTAGACATAGACTACTGAGGTTTGAATCCTGGCCTCACCACTCACCAATTGTAAATCTTTGGGCAGTTTTCTTCACCTCACAGACCTTCAGTTCCTTTATCTGCAAAACAAAGATAATATCTAACATAGAGGGTGATTAAAGAGATAAATTGCAATAATCTGTGTGAAACTGTTATCAGCACACCTGGAATATAGTAAGCATGTAAAATACGTTACCTCATATGAGAGGATAATTACTTTATCCTGAGTAATAAAGCATTTCTTCCGTTTGGGGGCAGAAAGGAATGAGCAGAGAGCTCATTTGGAAGGATTACAGCATTTAGGAGTCAGAGCTGGCTACAGAACTGAAATGTCTCAGGTGCATTCTGGATTACCACAGAGAGCAGAGATTCTTAGACTTGAGCATATGCACCAGAATCTTCTTGAAGACTTGATAAAACACAGCAGGCTGGGCTCACCCCCAAAGTTTCTGATTTAGTGGGTCTGGGGTAGGACCTCAGAATTTGCATTTCTAACAAGTCCCCAGGTGAGACTAATGCTGCTGGTCCAGGGACCACTCTTTGAGAACCACTGTCCTAGAGCTTAACGAGTGGTAAGTAGTAATTTAACAATGATCCTCCCCAGCACTGAGCACATTCATTTTATGTCTTGTCTCAAGCAATCCTCCCAAAAGAATTCCAAAGTAACTACTTACTCACTTCCTTTTTAGAAATAAAGAAACTAACATGGGAGTTTGGATAACATGGGAGTTTGGCCCTTTATGACACACTCCAGTGGCAGAGCTGGATTGGAAATCCAAGTCTGATTGCCCCAAAGTCTGTGCTCTTAATCCCCATTTAGCAAGTGAGTAAACTGAGTCATGGAGCAGTTAAATCTTGCCTAGATCCCCCATATAAAAGGTAGCTGAATTCACTTTCATATCTAGATCTGTCTGACCTCAAAGTCCAAGGCCTTAACTCAAGCTTCTGTGCGAAGCAGGGTATGTTAAAGGCTGTCTCCATTCCAGCATGGAGCCCAGGACCTCTTCCCTGGTGCACGATTTTCCTTTGTCCTTTCCTTTTTGCTTGACTTCTCTGGGTAATTGCCTCCTTCCTCCAGGCCCTTGACTGGGTAGGCAGTCTTCGTGGGGATCGAATGACCACAGAAGGAAAATAACTTAGAACAGGCGATTCTTCATTCTTCCTCAGCTGGTGTTTTCCCGTCAGAGCCTGGAAAGAAATGTGGCCTCTGCACACTTTAAATTGGACCATCAATTATTTGTGTCCTGAATATGTAGAGCTCATTAGGGCTGCGTTGGCCACAGTAGAGCACCTGGGCTGAGAAAAGTAAACTTTCCTCAGCTATTTCAATCCATGCTGCCCCTCCAGAGTGGAGCCTGGCCTGAGACTTCCAGTCACTAATGTGACCAATTATTTCTGTCCTCAGTTACTAGGTCATAAATCCTGCCCTGGCACCAAGTCCCTGGTTTCTGGTGGAAGAACGTTGGGTTTTAGGAACGACTCTACCTTCTGGCTGTGGAGTGGTGTGATACTGTGGTTAGGACTCTTGGACTTGAAGCCAGAGTGTTGCTGGGACCTCATTATGGCCTGTCAATAACCAGCTGTCACATTCCTGCTCTACTTGTCAGCTATCAAATGGGTCCAGTGCCTCCCAAGTTTGCTCGTGACACTGTGTTTGAGAAAAGAGGTCAGCCATCTATAAGGGACCACTGGGAATATCTAGGTTTATCTGAAATCTCTGATGTGGTTTCCTAAGAGGAAGGTGCAGAGTCAATCCCAGGCTTCTTCCTGTTCTAGGGCCTTTGCTCTTACTCTTACCTGCCCAGAATGTTCTTCCTTCTGCAGTTTGCATACCTGGATTATTCTCACTCTTCAGTTATCTCCTCAAACTTCCCCTCTTCAAAGAGGCTTTCCCCAGCTCCTACCTAAAGTCCCCCTTTCCTTTCTGTGCTCCAGTTACTCTCTGAAACATTACCCTCTTTTCAACCTCTTCAGCATGGAACACAATCTATACTTACCTTGTTTATTTCTTTGATTGCATGTTTGTTACCCAATGATGTCACATGCTGCCAGGTTAAGCTGTCTTTGTGCAACATTCTGAATGAGAATTTGCTGTCCCCTCTGTGAACTCCACTACCCCGAGATTAGGAAGCTTGCTCTTTAAAAACTCTGACAATTGCTCATCAGGGCAATTTGGGTTTTTCAAACCAAGCAACCAAAACAAAGTGCAGAAGTAAATTGAGTGCTGAGGGTGACACCTGATTGAAAAATGTTTGTATTCATTAACTTAGTTTTATTGTTTTTATTGATGGTCATTAGATGTTATAAATTTGATCTGTTTTTAAAAAGGCAAGGAAAACAAAATGGAAAAAGACAAAAGACAATCCCTGCTTTGAAGGAATTCAGTTAAACGGAGAGATACACAGAGTAGCAGACCATTGCACAGCCATTTGCTAAGTTTGCCAATCGAGGTAATAAAACCACATGGAGGCTTGTGAGGTGAAGAAGGGCAGAAAAAACCAGCATGAAAAAAAAACAAAAAACCAGCATGAGTAAAGCCAGGGCTAAGAAACAGGACAACATGTTCAGGGACTTAAAAGTAGCTCAGTGAAGGCTGAATGTGAACAGAGGGGAGTGAAGGACTCATAAATACCTCTAGTGCTGCCCCACCCCATCCTGACTCTGGGTTATGGCTGTGTGATTATTTGTCTGTCTGTGTATCTGTCTGTAATCTGAATCCCAGATTCCAAGCACGGTGGTACTTGGTGGTCCCTAGTACCAAGCACAGTGCCTTCCCAAAATCAATACTCACTTATCATTTTCTGAATGAGCTTTGAATAAATGGCCAGGTTTCCAGGGCAGTAGAGGTGGCAGGTGGCAGACATATTTGCAAAGTTGCAGACAGGGCTGAGCAAACTGGGGAGAGACAAAGGGAGCCTGGACTTTGGTTGATGTGTAGGTATTTCACAAAGGTTTTGGCCAGCAATTTGGCCAAACTAGCATTGAAACATGGGAAGAATAATTCTAGTTTTATAAGCCATAACCAAATGTCATTAAAATATGGTAGATAATTAATACCCAATAAAGGAAAATTAGAGTTATTATTTTATAATTACCCCCAAATCTTATTATATATAAGCAGTATCTAGGTTCAGTTGTCTACTTCAACTTAATGGTTTTGCTAATAAATGACTAAAGGAAAAAAAGATCCTTTGGTAATGAAGTTTAAAATGCAGGATTTGAAATCAAATGGATTTCCTTTCTGACCAAAGCTTTGCCACATTCCACATGACCTTAGACAATTAACTTAATGTCTCTGAACTTCAGATGTCCTTCCCATAAAACAGGGCTAAAATTGCAAGTCTTATTGTGGCAATTAAATAATGTGTTTCAATTATCTACTGCTGCCTATCAAACCACCCCAAATTTAATAGCTTAAAACAAAAACTTGTGACGATACCTTACAGTTCTCTGAGCTTGGCCAGGTAGCTTTTGCTTAGAGCCTCTCACGAGCTGTAGTCAGATGTTGGCTGGGGCTAGAGTCATCTGAAGGTTTGACTGGACTGGATGTCCAAGATGGCGCACTCATAAGGCTGGCAGCTGCTGTCACCTGGGAGCTCAGCTAAGGCCTGCTGACTAGAACACCTAAACATGTGCTTTCCATGTGACACGGAACAGGAACACAAACAACAGCACAGCAACAGGGCTGGGTTCCAAGAGGGAGCATCCCTAGAACCAGCACTACCAAAGCACCTTGTGACCTTTTCCTGGCAGTCTCAGATCATCATTTCTGCTGTTCTCTGTTGGCCAAGTAAGTCACTGAAGCCAGACTAGATTCAAGGAGAAGATAGAAGTGGACTTCACCTCTTGATGTGAGGAGCAGAATGCATGTACAGAGAGGGAAGGAATTGGGGGCAGCCACCTTTGGAGACTATCAGGCACACAGTACATGGCGTAGCTTAGTCATGGACGAACATCTGTTCTCTCCTCCCCATCTTGAATTTAACTCATTACATTTTCAAAATCCTTTTGATATATACTTTTAGAAAGTCAGAGCTAGGCAAAATGGCACTTTAAAGATGATCTAGGGCTTCCCTGGTGGCGCAGTGGTTGAGAGTCCGCCTGCCGATGCAGGGGACGCGGGTTCGTGCCCCGGTCCAGGAGGATCCCACATGCCGTGGAGCGGCTGGGCCCGTGAGCCATGGCTGCTGAGCCTGCGCGTCCGGAGCCTGTGCTCTGCAACGGGAGAGGCTACAACAGTGAGAGGTCCGCGTACCGCAAAAAAAAAAAAAAAAAAAAGATGATCTAAGAGATTCTTCTCTTATTCTACAGACAGGAAAACTGAAGCCCAAAGAAAGGTAATACTCAATCCATGGCCTCTGTCCTTAGGCTGTGTCCCAGGTTCTCAGCAAAATAGATCCTTAGTAAGTGTTTGCTCATGAAGCAAGTGGCTCTCCACACCATATTACTGTTTATAAAGTATTTCCACATAGACCCTCAAAGGCAAAGTGAGGTAGTGAGATGTTACCAGATTTTGGAATAAACAGATCTGTGTTAGAATTCTAGCTCTTCTACTCCCTTTATGATTCTCAGTGAATTGCTGAATATCTCTGAGCTTCAGATCCCCTTAATCTAGAGATAGTCTAATGAAGCATGGGTTTCTAAGACACTGTGAGTGCTGAGGTCATTAATTCAAGTAGCTGATACAAACCAAGTGCTCAGTATTTGGCAGCCGTGTTTGTTTCTTATTAGGTTTCACAAAAACCCTGTGAGGTAGGCATTGTAGTCCCACTCTACAGATTGGGAAACTGGACCTTGAAAACAGTAAGTGCTTTGCTTAGCACAAACAGCTAGCAAATGGCAGCTCTGGGACCTGAAAATCAGGTCAACCTCGGAAGCACCTTCCTACCCATTACCCCCACCCTCACTGCCCACACATCTATCCTTTGTAGTCTACTCGAAGAAGCAGAGGGGAGATCCTGGGTACCAACAATTTACGAAATTAATGACTACTTAGGACTTTTTTCCATTAGGGGAGGGAAATTTGCAGATCATAGTCTGCTCATATTTTAGCACTTTTTCTAGCACTTTACAGAGTTTA